TACTATGTCAGGTTTAGTTCAAACACTGTATGTTTTAATATCTGAAGTGCAAGTAAAACAAATGTGGATTCACTTATACCAATTGAAAGCTTCTTTAGGTTGATTTTTTTCCTTTCCCCACTTCTCTTTCTCAACTTGTCCAGGGAAAATGTGATACAGTCAGAGGCTGTCATTCATAACAGAGAAGAATGCATGCATTCCTGTATGATGAAGGTTTATTTGTTAACTTAAATAAGTGTCTATTCCTTGTTTACAATTGTCTTTGTGTGGATGATATTGCCTGAACCTGGTCCTTAGCTACATGTCTAAACATGGGAAACCCTTACACACATGTGGAAACACTTAATCCTTCAAAATCTGATGAATGCTCATCATGGTCACATTTATTTTCAGTATAACTGTAGAGGTCTTAACAGGCTTACATCAAACAAAGAAAGATTTGTAATGGTAAGATCATTATGAGTAAAACATTAATAACTTCATTTCCATGATGGAGTTAGCTTCTATTTTATTATTATGCTATTAGCTATTACCAACATATACGTATGCATTTGTATCACTGAAAAGAAAAAAATGAATACTAAACAGGTTAAATTTTACTTTAAAAAATGTAAAAAACCAGACTTTTCTTATCTACAAAAAGAAAATTTCAGAAAAATACAACTTTAATGATATTATATACTTTAGTTGTACAACTCATTTTCATATATACTCCCCATTCATTTCTAGGTATCTTTTGATCCTTGCTACAATATTTTTCCTATAATACAATTTTTATGAGGCTATTGTATAATAATTTCTGCTTTTGTGACTGCTGGGTGAAGAATAAATGATGGTTCACTTCTGTCATTTGTCTTTTCTTATTGTTTAAATACAAAGTCTTTAAATAAAATTTTAAATTAAAGAGCATTTGCCTTATCTCTACCAGGATACCAGTTTTTCACAATCTTGGTTCCTTCTTTTCTCTTCCTATCTCCTTTGCTTTCTTCTATATATAATATAATTCTGGGAATATAATTTGTTTTCTGTAAACAAGAGGGAGGTATAGAGGTAGATATATGGACTTGGGGGCGGGAGAGAGAGAGAGAGAGAGATAGAGAGAGAGACGGCACTTTACTGTTTGTGAATATCAAAGAGAACCTTAATATAGAATTTCTACTCTGTGCTCTAAGGGACAAAAAACAAGTTCTTTTTAAAAGACTGATTGAGTCAACATCTCTCAAATGATAAATTTTCTAGATAAAGCTACATGCTTTTTCCAATTTATGGCATAGTAGTAATCAAGTATAAAATCCTGACTTCAAATATGTAGAGTTGGTTTTCTCCCCCATATCAATTCTTTTTGATAGAGTAAACTCAAATTCATATGCAGAAAACCATTCTATATGGCAAAGTCATATTAAATTTGAGACAAATTTTATTTCAGCATTTTCAGTTTTTTTCTCTGTTATGGGTGTGGCATTGTGTTTTTTTAAAGAGAGCAAGGCTATTTGATTGCATATTTCATAAGCTTCTTATTCATTATTCATATCACTGGAGATAGAAGGAATATACAAACACGGGGCATTCTCTCAGATGTGTCCTCTGAGAAGTGCACTCAGCCTAAACCTCAAAGAGTCTTTTTCAGTGGGGGCTGGAGGGAAGCTCAGTGAAGGTGGCATATAGTAATGCTCTATTGGGTTCTAAGTTGGTTACTGGAATTTCACTTTGGCCACATGAATCAGGCCAACAGCACTTAACCCTAAAAGAACACGAGTGATTATAGCACATGAAAAGTTTCAAACTAGTTTAGTTGTGTGTGTTTTAGAAATATTTTCTAAAATATGAAAATGAATTAATATTGAAATCAATTTTGGGGCGGTTAGAATCATTTATTTACTTATTTAAATTGGATTTATCCTCCTTGCAAAAATGTACGGCTGATTTAAGCATATGACTTAATTAACATGCACTAAAGATGCTTTGGGTACTTTATAAATATTTAATTACAAAAATGAGGATATCGTGTTCTTCTACTTGAATTAGAATGAGTTATTAGTGTAAACCTTTTTGAAAAACTCATTTATGAAATCAAAATGAATAAACTGGGTTCTAAATGCATTATGCAATTTAAATACAGTAATGAAAATCTTTCTGTTTCCTTAATATCAGATTATGTTTTCCCTAAGCCGTCTATATGATTTCCATAATATTACAAAGAGATAAAAATAATTTTTAGAAGTAAACACTTTTTTCATTCCACTTCATATATCAAAGATAGATTCATAGCCATTATCTCAGAAAAATGTGTACTGATATTATCAAATTAAGTTCTCATGTAGTTGGTTATCATTACTAAAAGTAATGCAGCAATTGCAAGTAATTTTAAGGCTGATGTATTTTATTAAATCGTAAATCTTACTTGAGAAACTTGGAATCTGTGGTCTCAGTATCAATAGCAGTTGTTTAATTTCACAATATGACATCAGTTTTTTTCTCCATAAATATAAATTGATGAGAATTCAGCTGGATTAGAAAAAGCATTAGCGATTTCTATATGGAGAGTCATAGCTTGATGTCTGGAAGTTGTTTGATTAAGAATGACTTAAACATTTTCTTAATAAATTGAGCAATGGACATGATACCCAAGAAGGAATGGGATTTTCTGAATAATTAAGAATGTCAGCTTGGCATTTATTGGATTGCTTTAGCAGTGGTCAATTATTACTAACATTTAAATTGGCTAAGATCTCAGAATATATTTTGTGGAAAAAAAATCTCTCTGCTAAGAATGATATAAGAGGGAAAAAAGAGCTAGACATCTGTACTTGACTGGCTAGAAGCAGGTGTTATGCACATAAACCAGAAATTGTAGGAGAACTTTAAATAACTTGTGTCAATAGGTGACAATTCATAAGTTCATAAAACTAAAAGAATCTAAAATACTTTAAAAATAACATATACAAATTAATTCCTGGAACATTCTCAATTAAAAAATATAAGAACGCTCAAATAATTTGAAATGTTTTCTGCAGAATCTTTACCAATCACCAAAATAAGAGCATATGCATTTTATTTATTTATTTTTCCTTATGTAACATTTAGATCAACTAATAAACCTTGCAATTTTTGTCTGATTTTAAAATGACTTGGAATTCCTTTCATTGTTTCGAAATAAATTACAAAGAAATACACATCATGTTATAGGCAAAGCTTTCAATTAATTCACTTTGAAACACAACAAATGAATTAACATGATAGTTTTTCTATACTTATTGCTTTAAGGTTAGCCTGGACATTTTAACGTTAAAATTAATAGGCTAAAGAAGGAAGGCGAAAACTAACTTAGATTAGTGTCAGGCACTGTGCTAGACTTTCAGGATGTATTATCCCTTCATAGTAACCCTATAAAAGAAGTCTAACCACTTTTTCTATATGAGGAAACTGGCTTGGACATTTCCCAAACTGCAGACTGAAATGAGTATCAGAGATAAGACAGGTGTGATAAACCTTGCTGAATAACATCTTGCTTTGCATTCTCAAAGAGAAATGCAATATGAATTTTTTCCATCATGGTCTGTAACTCTAGATTTTTAGATTAGCCTTGAGACTCCACTTCCCACTTTGTTCTAAAAGTGGATAAATCACTTAGTACTTAATATGCTGTGTGGTGAGGGAAGGAAGAGCAATTTCAAAAAAAAAATTTTTTTAATCATACAGGTTGATAGTTCTTTCTAAGGCAGTGGTTCTCAACCATGGTTAAATCTTAGAATTACCAGGGGAATTTTTTAAAAATATTGATGCATGGAGCTCATCATGTGATTCTAACATGTAACTAAAGTTGGAAAATACCGGTCTTAGTTTGTCTTCACAGTAAGAGCACTATTCTTTTACAGTTGCTTTTTGCTACTGCACCTACGAGACCTCAAATAAGATGAGGTTTGGGGCACCAGGTAGGTAGGGGTGAGGAATTGAGAACTGCACAGGTAAGACAGTACTTTATGTTATTAGGAATGAGAAGACTCTGACAGCAACAAAACTCACTATTTCAGGATAGATATCTGAACTTTTGCAAAATCATTATGTCTTACTAAAGAGAAAATTGCTTTAGGGAATTGGCCAAAAACTGTTTCCTCTGTTGGGGTAGAGATTTAACTGGCACCCACTTAGTGCCAAATGGGATTGACACTAATAAGAAAAATAGCATATTTAAATCCAGTTTCACTTACAAAATTCTCCAACAAATAGTAAACTAGAGTATTACATTCATGGTAGCTACTTTTGAGAATGTACACACTTGATAGTTTAGAAATAAATAACACAGCACATCTATTTAAGAGCATATATGACACTTTAATCCTAATTTGTGATGGCTCCCAACCAGGAGAACATGAATAAACTCTCACATACTACAGAGGTTTTCACTATGCACAACCTCAGAACAACTAACATCTCACATTCAAATTAATTTAATTAAAAAATATTCTAGATCAAGAAAAATAATTCTCAGTTATATTGCAGGGCAAAAATCTAAAAAATTATATAATCTGGAACAAACTATGGATAGAAACTATTGAAACTAATGACTAACTCAACTGCTATCAAGCCACCAAGTGCAGGAATGGCAACATGCCAGTGTAGTTAGCAGCTCTCTTCTGTCAATCAGATCAGAGATACTCACAGTGAACCCACAGGGCAGTTTTGTATGGTTTGATGAAAGAAAGCTTCTTTCTACCCTAATGACAAATTAGGAATATGCTTTTAAATATATGATTTATCATTTATTGGGAGGAATCATAAGTCAGGCAGTACAAATTCTTTGCTGCTTAAATGCTCACTTAGAAACTTAAATTTTCTCCAGGTCCTTTCTAACACCAAAACTAGGCTTCTTTGGAAATCAGCAACATTTTACAAGATGTGGTTAGGTTAACCACATCTTCCTTAATATTTTTATGTCAAATCTTTGAGAATATAACCCCTTAAAACAAAGATATCCCCCTCGTCACAGCCAGCAAACTTACCTATTGAGAAGAAGTAATAAAAAATTACTGGTTCAGTCAAACAGAAACAAAAGCAAAAACAAAAACAAAACTCTGTAAGGATTCAGTTCTGGAGGCAAGGGTTGGAGAATGGTTTAAATGGAGTCAAGAGTCAAATGGCTGTGGCTACCCCCTAATGGAGAACCAGAACAATCTGTGCTGGTGTGTAGTGCTTGTGGGTGCCTCCCTTTGTTCCAAGTAGAATGCTAATGCTAAAACCGCAGTTTGCATTCCTGCTTGCTCAGGGAACAGTGAGGCAGTCTGACAAAGCTTCCAGCTTAAATGTCCTGATGGGGGGAAAGTCCCAGAAGATGGCATTTTCCTTATGTGCTGGTAAAACAAGCCATACGATGAGTGCATACGTTTGAACAGTGGAAATTTGTGGTCACCTTAATGTTAACTGATCTCATTTGTTAGAGACATTGAAAAAAAAAATTCCACTTTTTGTGAATGTCCATCAAGGAAGTCAAGGGCGTGTCTTTGAATTTTTTCACCTTTTACTTCTCTCTGATGTATAAAATTTTCATTGGCATATACAAAAGCAGTTAGTGTAAAAAGAGAATGAAATTCTTTAGAGCAGTGAAATATAGATCAAAATATAGTACAATGGGCTGACAAATGCTATGAGAAAGTTTAGGCCATGGAAAGAAAAAGAAAACCTAACTGTAATTTATTCATGATATATTTTAAAGCATAGGAGAAGTTGAATTTCAAATTATGTTTAATGCTACTTTTTATTGTACTGAAGGGATTACTATCTAACTCCAACTTTTTAAAAGGACTTAAAAGGTTGTATGTGCTATCTCATCCCTTCTCCCTATGTCTTTTAACTGATGAAGTTTATTTTCCACCTTTTATATGTAATAACTGGGTAACAGAAGACATGGTTCAAGGATGGGAAAAACCACCTTTTAGAGCAAGTGATCAAGCCATCACACATTCAACTTAAAGCCTCTGCAGATATGTACTGATAAATATAGGACTAGTGAGCATATCAATAATATATTGGGCACTTCATCTAATGCATAACTTCATCTTTATTTCAGCAAGAAAAGTCAGATTGTCTTTTGCTTTTTCTAATGAGGAAAATGAGAACTTAGGTACAGTCATGATGTGGAATGTTTTCAGTACTACTGGGCTTAGTTAACGTTTCCTTTTTCAGTTTCTTTGCTGGATGTCAGTATGCAAGTTTATGAATGGTACGAATTTCATGTGCTTAACACAACTAGGCCGCCACATCTATTCTCCTAATATTCCTTTGTGGAAAGTGATCCGTATTATTACTTTTGAGTTGAGTTCAAGATGATTTATAATTTTTCTGGACAAATGTTAGTGATGATTAGTGGTGAATAGCTAAATAACAGATGCTGGATTTGAAATTTTCTATTTCAAAAATGCAGGATAAAAACACGAAATATCAGACTTAGAAAGTGTGAGAAAAATGGCTTAATGGGCTTACCATGAATACTTCTGCAAGTAAGTTTAATATAATTATATAAAACATAATTGCTCTAGCATAGTGTGTTAGATACTGGTCTTGTTGAATACTGAAAAATAAGCCTCTTTGCCAGGGACATTTTCCCTTAATTCTTTGGATGGACCCTGTGTCACAGCTACTTCATTACAAGAAGTAGGAAAAACACACTAGTTGCCAGATAATAATCACAGTTCTGTAGTCCCCACCAAGCAACATTTTTCTAAGTGGGAGCTGAGAGTAGAGAGGACTATTTTTTTTTGAGTCATTGAGTCTCTGTAATCCAGATTGAAATGCAATGACACAATCACAATTCACTGCAGCCTTGAGCTCCTGGGTTGAAGGAATCCATCCTTCTCAGCTCAAGTAGCTGGGACTACAGGTATATACCACCATGTCAGACCAATTTGTTTTTCTTTTTTGAGTTGAAGTCTTACTCTGTCGCCCAGACTGGAGTACGGTGGCCGCTCCCGGCCACCGCAGCCTCGACCTGCTGGGCTCCGGTGATCCTTCCGCCTCACCCTTCCACGTAGCTGGAACTACAGGCGTGCGCTACCACGCCCAGCTGATTTTTGATTTATTGTAGAGATGAGGTCTCGCCTGCCCAGGTGGGTCTCAAACCCGCAGGCTCAGGCAATCCACTCACCTCAGCCTCCCAAGGCGCGGGATTACAGGCTGAGCCACCGAGCCCGGCTGTCAGACCCATTTTAATTAAAAAAAATTTTTTTGGTTGAGATGCGTTCTCATGTTGCCTAGGCTGGTCTTGAATTCCTAGACTCAAGTGATCCTCTTGCTTCAGCCTCCCATGTTGTTGAGATGACAGGTGTCAGTCACTGTATCCGGTCTTCTTTCTTTGTTTCCCATAAAAACCCAAAGGTTATCTCTAGCTCTTTTAGGCTTTTCTCCATGAATAAAATTTTCTTTTGCCATCTATGAAAGGGAGGGAAGTGACTTATTTACAGTTAACTAGAAAAGAAAGTTTGCCTAGGTCAGAAGTTTTTTCATAAACATATCAAGAAGATTTCTAAATAGCTAGAACTTTTAGGGTGGCATGGATATTACAAAGTCATTTAAATGCTCAAGGATGAGTTCGGGTTTTGACATAGTTTAAAACTTAGAATTAGACGCTCCAAGTTTTGACTCTGAATTCCTGGTTACTGACTAGGCTACTTAAGTTGCTTAACTTCCCTCATTTGTAAAGAGGAAATTTCAATAGCTGTAGTAAGCAATAAATGAAGTGGCATGTGTAAAACACTTTAAAGATACACAGCAAAACATTTTAAAATAAAAAATATTAAAATGATTTTTGATCTTGGTAATTTAATGCATGAAGGAAAACAGATACATTTATGATAATTTCTATAATTCAATAACTGGAAAATGTATGTTCTTTCTAAAGTGGGTAGCTTTAAATCAATATCATCTGACTGGTGCCACAAATTTATGTTTATTCATGCATTCATATTCTAATTCATTTAGCAAATATTTTGAGCACTCACTATGAAATAGAAACTGTGTTACATGCTAGAGATAAACCAATGAAAATGTCAAACAGGTCTCAATAATCTTAAACTCTAGTAATACATAATCCTTAGTGCTATTATCATTTTATTTATCATGCCTATGCAATAATTACTAAATTTCAAGCTTTCTCTGGATCGGGGATCATATATCAAAATTCTTTGTAATTCTCACAATCACATGTATTAGGTATTTATGGATAATCTGTTATGAATAACGAATATTCTATACACTTATTTTTTAAAAGCAATAAAAATATTATTTGAAGATATCTAATTTTCCTGTGCTTTGAAACTGAATGAAGACTACTTCAAGTCTCCACTGTAATAAAAGTCAAAAAAGAAATATTATGGGTCTAAGAAAATACAAAATAAAGGGTATTCGGAAAACCAATAAAAATTGACAACTATTAAATGTTATGCTGTTACTACAACTTAATGAATAAAGAAACTGTAGGAGAAAAATGATTTAAAAACCCCAAGTTGTACTTCAAATAGGTTAAAAACAAATGCTTGCCAATTCATTCTACGAGTTGCACACTACTCAAAAACACAAACTAGTAATGGGTGCAAATTATCTTGCTACACTGATTATAAAGGTGATCAATATATGAATTTTCAGGTCAGTATTTGTGTTCTTATAAACCATTAACTAAATAAATACCAGTCTCCCCCCCCCACCTTTCTGTAACTAATCTAGTAGTGGGGCAACTGAGGAAGAACTCGTTTCAGCACCATGGACAAAGCATCCAAACAGCCTTACCCTTGCAAGTTTTGGGAATTACACGAAATATCACCCTTAGGTTAAAATTAAAAAGTAACATTATAGTAGCCATATTCCACTTTAACATGTTTTAAGAACCAAATGAGTATTAAAAGAATGTTAATTTGTACACTGTAAAGTTTACATTTTTAAATCCCCTTCTATCTTATGGAAAAACATAATGGTCCTTTCAAAGACATGCATCACTGTGATAAATGCATTTGAGTGTCATTAGGTTTAATGGTTCCTACTCACTTAGACTATTATTTCGTACCTTTTAAAGTTAATTTAATGTGTATTAATGGTGTGAAATTGATGAAATTATGAATTGAGTTTCCCTGGGCACAGGTTAAATCAAGAAATAAGGGAGAGGACTGGTTAATATTACCTTCCACCCCATTCTTCATTTCTACTACAAAAAGATGTTAGCTCTTCCCTTGGGGAAAAAAATGCTCACTATTAGTAAGTTGAACCTAAATTGATTTTTATGGTTTTAACTCAGGAAACTGTCTTTGATTGGGTCACCAAAGGTTCACAGTTTTCTTTGGGGAATAAGAAAATATGCACTCTTCTGAGATTAAATTCATATTTTATTCCACGTGTTCCAAGAAGCAGATCACTTCTTACTTTCTTCTCATTCTGTATTCATCTTAGAAGGTCATTCAGGGTATTCGTAATCTCTTCCTTGCATTACTATCATTTTCACATAAAATAATGATGTTTGACTAATGTATAATCAGAGTTAAATATTATGTTAATAAACATTATTATTATTAATGTGAAAAATTGAAAAAGTGAAGGTTCTAGTCTCAGGAACATTTGATAAAATAAAACTTCACTTCAGAGTATCTGGAAGACTGAAGTCTAATTTTGAACTATGCATGGCTTGCAAAAATATTAAGAAATAGAAAAATATTCACTTTATGTTTGAATGAATAAAAAGAAAGTATAAATCCACTACTTGCTGCAGTATATTTAATTTTAATGAATAACTAAGATAAAACAAAACTTTTTCGCTTCTCTATCAAGTAAAAATAATCTCCAAACTAAAAAAGAACTGAATGCAACTTGGTAAAGGAGAATAAAACTCAGGACAAGTAACGTCAAATAAGTCATTTGACAGACAAGTTATAGTCCAGGCTTTTATAATCTCATTTTTTGCAAATAGAATTATGGTATCACTGTTAATGTCTTTGAAGAATCGTGGACATGAGGAGAGATGCCAAGATGATAGAAATTCAGAAATGAAACAGACAGTTATGATTCTCAAAAAGTAGAGAGAAGAAAGAGTCTTTAAAACACTGATGGGTATCTGAGTTGGTTTCACATTCTTGAAACAAAAAAACTGAATTCCTTATATTCTCACTTATAAGTGGGCCCTAAACATTGAGCACACACGAACACAAGAATGGAAACAACAGACACTCGGCACTGCTAAAGGAGGGAGAGAGAGTGGAGAGATAACAGATAAAAAATAATCCTTTGGGTACCATGCTCACCACTGGAAGGGGAGAGCTTGTCAGAAGCCCAGACCTTGC